GCAGAAAAGCATGATGCCAACGACCGAAAAGGCCAACAGTAGCGATGCAGGGCCGCCGACGGCCAGTGCCTTGCCACTAGCGACGAACAATCCCGCTCCTTGCAAAAAAAAAAAAAAAAAATTATTAGGGGTTTCATTATTCTCTCTCATTGCCAAATTTTTCCATCACGCATGCTTTGAACGTACCGACCGATCCGCCAATCGCAATCATTTGAAGATGCCTGCCCTTGAGCCTGCGCATCAGTCCTCCCGTAGCCTGCGCATTCTCCACCGTGGCGCTGCGTAAATCATAATACGGCCCGACGACACTCGAGCGCACAATCGTGTCCGCGCCGTCTCTCGAGTAGAATTCCGACTGCGGATCCCGCCGGAAGCCTTGAAAGAAGCGCTCCATCCGCGGCGCAGGCGGGTGTGCCTCGGCCTCGTCGACGGTCGGCTGCATCATCAGGTACCCCGCCGGCGATGCGCGGCCGCCGTCTCTGCTCCGGCGGTGGTCCATATCTCTCTCCTTTTGTGCCTGACGAGCAAAAAAAACGTTTTTACGTTGCGCGGAGCTCTGAAGAACCAGGTGCGAACAATCGCGTGAAGCGATTACGCATCTGTCGCATCGATTCTGGTTGGGAGGTGCTTTGGTTGCCTTGATGCTGTGGTTGTTCTTTTGGATGATGAGTTTGGAAAGCCGACCCCTCCCGCGAATTTGAAGAGAGACGTTGATGAGACATCAACAGTTACAGTCGTTTTACCCCCTTGGTGGTTCAGCGAAAAAACGTGACCAATATGAACTAGTTAGGCAGAGAGTTTGAGCTATTTAGCGCGAGGCGGAAAGGTTTGGGCAATGCCCGTTTTTTCTTCTTCATTGCCGATCATCCTACTGATATGGGCGGGATACACAGACGGCTGACGTGAGCAGGCATTTCTGCGCCAGAGTGTCGGGAAGAAACTGAACAAGACCTTGGCCAGTGCATACAGAAGCTGAAAATGCAACTTGCATTGCCAGATTGATACATTGCAGCAATTATGTAAGCCTGTTTTGTCTTGAATGGTAAACGATTAGTTGCGGGCCCCAGACAATAGCCATAAGATGCATCAAATGGCCAAAGGCGAATGGTTGATCAGGTATGCATCGGCGGGAGGTCAAGAAGAATAAAGGCATCAAGAGGGGTGCCTGAGCAGAATGTAGAAACGAAACAGAAATAAATAAACCCTTGCATCTCCAACTCTAAAAGGCACATCAATGAATGTGCAGGGTAAACACGAAAGGGAAATGAAACACGGAATTTCCGAATTTGTTCTAGGTCATAACTACTAATGGTTACAACCATCTTGATCTACCAAGACGGATAATATACTGTATTTATAAGTTGGTAATTTTATACCAAGAATGGTGCGCCCGAAAAAGCCTCTCTCAGTCCTGGCGGGATTCCAGACAGCAACTAAAGTTGGCTGCATCTTGCATTGTGCCTTTACATGACTAGGCAGACAAGACAGACACCTGCCAAATATTCTCGGAATCATAATCAGCTGCATGCACGTCACCCAGAATTGACGAAATGAGAACCCAAAAGGCAGGTTTTCTCCGCTTCGAACCACCCCTTGCCAAGATAGCTCTATCAGATCTATGGTAATTGTTGAAGGCGATGTAGAAGGGAGGTGTTGAATGCTACACTGGTAACATTCCGTGGTAGAGTGTGGGGCCTGGCTGCTGAAATATCCGGAAATAAATAACCACTTGCATTGACATTACCTACTCGACTTCACAGCCCACCCCCACCACTCTTTGGCTTTTGATTGCAACGCTCGAATATGCAAAGAATAGGCTCGCCGAGTGGCATGTAGAGTTGCCGCGGTTTGGGGTAAAAAAGAAGAAATTCTTTTATTCGGGGGTAACCAGGTGTTAGACAGTTTAGGATTACACACAAGGGTTCTAGTACGCCCGAGGCAGCGACCTTCAGACTGCGCAGATCGGTTTATCCAGAGTCATGGTGCGCTGGAGAGGGCTGGAGCAGGGTAGATGGGAGCAAACACGACCAGACACAAAACATGATAACCGAGGGTCAACAGAAGCAAATGATGCAGCCGGCGCAAGAAGCAATGGGAGAGGGAAAGAAGGACGAATGAACGAAGGAGAAGAAGAAGAAGAAGAAGAAAAAGAAGAAGAAAAAAAGAGAGAGATCCAAGTTATCAGCCAACATAATATATGTAGTCCACATTGCCAGTTTTGCTGGCTCGGTGCTTGACTCTAATATTTATCATCATCATATAAGCTTGAATCGTCTCCGCGTTACAGGCAAATCTCCCAGGAAACTTCCAGTGAAATTTCAGAGTTGAAAAAAGGGGTTGGGATCAATGCCAGGAAGCATCAACATATACGAGCACAGCCCAAACGGAACTAAGCTCGGAACCCCCTTCGCCTCAAGAATGAGCCCCATCGAGTAACTAGGTCGTGAAACCCAGCAATCGCATAACTATCGACCTCGACAAGTATCTTCTGCGCCCGAAACCACCCAGCAAGAGCCACAGGCGTCGGTATACCATCCACCCGCTGTCTGCCAAGCGCACGCTCCTTTCCAGCCCGCACCCGACTCGGACTCGTATCTTCATCCTGTAAGGGTTCGAGCGACGGACTGTTGGGAAGAGACGCATCGGCTTCCAGGCAGGCGAATGTAGCGGTAGACTGGGCATGGTCATTGCTAGAGGCGGCCAAGGCACCGAAGTCAGCCGCAGTGCTTTTATGGCGGCGCGTTTCCGCAGGTCCCTTTTCCGTAAAGGAAAAAGAAGGTGTCCGGGGACTTTCTCCCAAAGCTAGGATAAGAGACATTCCATATGAAACGTCTCTGTGTGTAAGCTTCGACAGCGATCTGTTGAGCGAAGGGGAGATGAAGAAGAAGGGAAAGGAAAAAAAGGATAAAAAAATTTGGAGCTCTGCTTTTCGCCTGGTGCTGTTGTGGGGAGGCTCCGCAGACGGCTGGCGCATGCATTTACAGGGGAGTGTCGCTCTAAGCGGGAGCTTGCTCAACTTCGCGATTTCAGCTAGCAGTCAGGCGGCGGCCTTGTACGAGTCCTACCTGTGCCTCGCACCTCTAGCAACTGCGGCCTATTCTATCTGGCTGCGCTCGATAAATACGTCTTGAGTGGAAACAGTTCAACTTCCAACAACCTTTTGCTCTGCACTCATTCCCGACAAAACTTGACAGACGTGCTGGGAAAAGAAAAATCAATTTGGGTTCGACGCCCTCGAGCACGCGTTCCTCGAAAGCCTCGAGATACGACACAAACCACTGCCCGCTTGTATCGGTACGCGACCCTGCATAAAACAACATGGCGGGCCTTTTTGGAGCCGCGGCCACGTCGAGCACGGCCACATCGAATGCGCTCGGCGATCTCAAGTCCGACGTCGCCCTGAGCGACCCTCCCACCGACACCATCACGGCGCTGTCCTTTTCGCCGGGCCAGAGTCAGCAGGACTTCCTTGCCATCTCTAGCTGGGACAACAAGGTTCGCATCTACGAAATCGCCCCAAACGGCCAGAGCCAGGGCCGCCACGCTTTTGAGCACAGCCAACCCGTCTTTGACTGCGATTTTTCCAAGGTGAGTGGTGCGACGGTAGCACCGACAACGAGGTATCAAGATTGACCGCGTTGCAGGATGGAACAAAGGTCGTGTCCGCGTCGGCCGACAAGAACGTCAAGGTCTGCGACCTAGCCTCGCAGCAGGACATTGTCGTCGGCACCCACGAACAGCCCGTGCGCTCGTGCCGCTTCTTCGACAGCAGCGGCACGCCCATGGTGGTGACGGGCTCGTGGGACAAGACGGTCAAGTACTGGGATCTGCGCCAGCAAGGCGCTGCCGCCAGCGTTCTGTGCCAGGAGCGTGTCTACACCGCCGACGTGCGCGATAACCTCTGCGTCGTGGGCACCGCCGACCGCTACATCAACATCATCAACCTCAAGGACCCGACCAAAATTTACAAGACTCTCCAGAGCCCGCTCAAATGGCAGACAAGGGTGGTTAGCTGCTTCACCGATGCTGCCGGCTTTGCTATTGGCAGCATTGAGGGGCGATGCGCGATTCAATACGTCGAGGACAAGGATTCCACGTAACTCCCACCACCCCTCTCTTACATTCTGGAGCGCCTGCTAACCTTGGTAGATACAACTTTTCGTTCAAGTGCCATCGCGATAATGCCGTCAACAACATTGTCAATGTTCACGCCGTCAACGCCATTTCGTTTCACCCCGTCCACGGGACATTCAGCACCGCAGGCTCGGACGGCACGTTTCACTTTTGGGACAAGGACGCCAAGCACCGCCTCAAGGGCTACCCCAATGTCGGCGGCAGCATTACGGCGACGACGTTCAACAAGAGTGGTAGCATCTTTGCCTACGCCGTGGGCTACGACTGGAGCAAGGGCTACCAGCACAATACGCAAAACTTACCCATCAAGGTGATGCTGCACCCCATCCTTAACGACGAATGCAAACCGCGTCCTTCAACGAAGAAGCGGTAGGGGAAGCCCCGGCGTTGATATGATGTGGCTGAAGTTGCGTTTTCTCATTTTCGCGCAAGAATAGTGACTGTAATGCAGTTTTGATGGATGACTCTGAAGCAGGGAGACGGATGCGCGTTAAAGGAAAGGAGGGTCTCAAAATACCATGAGAAAAGAACCATAGTGTTCTGTATAGTAGTTAGTCATGATTCGGCAAGGCGGCTATATTATAACTGGATTCGCTGTTCTTTTATGAACAAAATTGTGTTGCGCATCAACCATCATTGCTCAGCGTGACCAGCCTTGTGCATCTTTGCTATACACACTTGTGGCGTGTTCCAATACACGGCTGTGAGAGAGGTATAGACACAAGACACGACTCTATCGTCTTTTTTCAGCCTTTGAGAAAGCTACACGGCGACAGATATGCAATCAAGCGACAGGTTTAGTACTGTGGGCTCCTATGCATATAGAAGCAGAAATAATCGGCCGTCGGGCATCCATTAGGCGAATATCCGATGTCGTCTAGAGGTTAGGATCCTGCGCTTTCAAGTTAGATTGAGTGCCGCAGTGGCCGGGGTTCGATTCCCCGCATCGGAGATCCATTCTTTTTTTGGTTATTTTGCCGGCTTTGCTAGCATTCCCTTCCATCTAATTGTTGCATGGGTTTTTCTTTTACTGACGTCTTTCTTGATCCCGTGGTCCTTGTCTCTCCCAAGTACTGCCAAAACCCGACAACTAAAGTGCTGTAATACAAGAAGTCTACTCCAGGATCGGAGTTGCAGCGCAACGCTCAGATTTCGCGTGCCATTGTTTTTAAAGAACAGAGAAACGAAACTAACCATGGAAGTGAGTCAAAAGGTAACCTATCTGCTACCAAGTCTACCAGGTGAAGTTCGTCAAGTTTTGGAGCACCCGCATGCCAGTACTTTGCTCGTAATTTGCCGAGACACTGCACGGTTCGTCGTTATCCACCTCACTCCTGCATTCAGAAATCAAAACCTCTTTTACATCGAAGGAAAAAACAATACTGATGATTATGGCGTGATGTGTTTCACGGTCCAAGCTGGGTATATTAACGACCTAACTGGGCAACACGAGTAGTACTAGACTAGAGTAAAGAGAATAGGGAAAAGTGTGAGAGAAGAGCTCAGGAGCCAAGGTCTTTAGTCTAACGATTCTAATCTCGCTTGTCGGCGCAGCTCGGTCCGAAATGACGGTGCCGACGGCAAGAAAGTCGACCGAGCCTTTTCGGGGTCAGTCCGTTAAAGCATGGCCGCTGGTCAGGCATGCTTCTGACATGGCCAGAAATACGGAAAAGATTTCACGCGGACGACTAGTTTCTGTGGAGAATATAAAGTCGCTGAGTGAATGCAAGCCGCGCTTTGTGTCATACATGCACGTCGGATAGATGCGCAACACTGAAGTTCAATCACGCTGGGGTGATGTGGGGGTACGCGAGTGATGTACTGGAGGTTAATTAATGAACATAATTATAACTTATGCACGGCCTGGCCAGTCACTTCTCACTCCACTAAACTATGGAGTAACATTGAATGTGCGATTGTCCTGTATTTATGGCATGCCGCCAACTCACTAAAAGGCTTTACACTAAACGGGAAAACGATAGACGGCAGTTTTAAGCACGATTTTTATTAGGTCAGTTCTTAAAACTCACAGGGTCTTTGGCTAGCCCGAGAAGCTCACCTGTATTTTAGCAAGCATAGGCCGTCTTACAGCCGAGTAAAGAGACAAAGTTTCACCTGTTAACCACAGAAAGTATCGGTAAACTACAAGTAAGCCGAAACCAGATATAGCCTTGTGTTATAGGCCAGGCTTTCTTTCATGACTCACCATCTTTATAGAAGCCGAGTTATAATTAAGCACCAGTGGATTAAACTTCACCGTGTAACCGCCAAGGTAGCAAGATCTTCTAGTACCAGAAGTCATCTTGGGCTCCACGAAGATGTGAGATGGTGGGCCGCAGGGGTTGTTGGCGTCGATGCACTGGTCCGATGAGTGGGCCATTGGAATTAACCAAAAACTTAGTTGGTCTAGTAAGACTCTCAATGTCGTAACATGTCGCGTGTAATTCCCGATTACATAAACGTCAGGCTGACACTGCGGACAAACTCCAACTGGACCTTTTTTGCTTTCCTTGGCTTCTATTTAAGCAGTACTCTTTCCTGTTCAGCTTTGACCTGCAAGCTTCTGCTCCATCCACGCCGCAGGACCCAAGACGAAGTTGGAACGCCGTTTCTGCGCCAAAGTTTACGCCAAAGTTTTACGCCGGTTTCTACACTAAAGTCCACGCCATGTACAAGTACAGTGCAATCGCCGCGGGGTAAACTGGATCGAGATTCCTGCAGCCGACCTTGCGGTGTCGCAAGTTTGTGGCCCTCATGAATGTGACTTTGCCATCTCGCGATTCTAATCCTGTTTCTCGCAGGAGTTTTATCAAAAGCTCTTCCCCTTGTGGAAGTTTGAGAATCCAGCCCAAAACCCCCTTGAATTCATGAGATTGTTCAAGGTGGAGGAGCCAGACTGTAAGGGATCAGCTGCGCACACCTCACAACATGTTCCGTGCTAAGTTGCCATATTCGCCCAGACATGGAAGGATCCATCATCAAAGTGAACGACTATACCAAAACATACACCAACGGTTCAGAAGTACGGAGCTCAGGGATTGTTCCCTACTTTCTCGTTGAGTCGCTTGACGAGGTTCGCATGCCAGCTCGTCTTTATTTTGCAAATGTTGGATTGCTAATGTCAAGCCGCAGGCGCAGCAACAAGTGACTGCTCTAGGTGGCTCCGTCGTGCTGGAGAAACAGGATGGGCGAGGCGACGGGTGGTACGGCAAATATCTAGATCCTGACGGCAACGTTTTCTGTCTGTGGGAAGTGCGCGTGAAAGAGTAATATGTGAGCCGCCGCAGGCACCTCGTCGGTTACACGACGAGCAACAATTTTGGTTCTAGATCAAGAACAAACTTTGAACACGTCCGCAGGACCTGAAGAATTGAGAGCTTTCTCCCCCTAATCAACTACAAAGGCCGGACCGAGTGACCAACCAAGCACAACTTCCGCCAACGTGACGATTTTACACACCCAAGGGTCGCAAGCTTGGATACAGCTCTAAAATAGTTGGAATCTAGTGGTGAGGGTAGGGGAAGGAGTTCCGTTTGCTAGTGATCAACAAAGGCATCCATGAGAGCTACCAGCCACTCTATCTTAAACCGCCTACTTGCTGTCTGTCCCTTCATTTCCTAAGTGCTAGACGCAATACTTGAAAGTTAACCACGTATTCTCTACAGGGTATGAAATCGTTAAGCAGCAGTCTGGCGGGATTAGTTTTCCACTTTGAGTCTATTTTCTTGTATTAATTCTCTTAAGATCAGCATGGTTATTATAGCACTATATTTGATGATTGTAGAGTCGTATCAGAAGAATTTTACGGTTAGTCACACTATCTAAAACCAAGTTCAACATGCCGAGGGCCGGCTTGATAATCCGTTGTGAAGGGGGATTGTGCTACCCTGCTGTATGGGAACTCTTTTGGGCAGGGAGTATAAACTCGAATTCATCTGACATGATTGGAACGGGATGTTGTCGGTGCGGACATTGTAATTCTGCCATCTGCGGCAACAGCCGGAAGACTTCATGCACGTACTCTGCTCTGGCCGGTATCGTGAGGTTCACGTTCACGGAGCTATGAAGTGTCGTTGGACTTTTGATACTGTACAACCTCGTCTAGAGTGGAGATAGATTCAACCTAGGCGCTCTCGTGTAACACCGCGGTGTAAGAACGACGACACCGCCAGATTCGATCTGTCTGGTCATCTACCACGAGAAACGTAAGGCTACTGAGTAATTTCCTGCCAAACCTTGCGTTATTTGTTGACTTTCTTGGCGTTGGGCCCTGAAATTGAAAGTGGTCAAGTAAAGGATGACCAAGCGCAAGTTTAAATAAACTAAGGAGTGCTCCTAAATACTCCCCAGGCCTACCACAGCAGCAATTTTTGCTTCTCAATGCTCCCACCGTGATAAGCTTCCAACTACATCACTTGCTTACGTACCTCTAGGCTGTTCTATGCGTAGAGAGGTACGAGTTCCTTTTTTTTATTGTCATATCTTGAAGGAGAGATCATACTTGAATCGGAAGTGAAACGGTTGTAACTTTCAAGCGCCATCTACACACAATCGCGCAAACAGACCTTGGTGTTCCGGCCACGACGCCACCCATCATTATTCACCGACCACCAAACGCGGCAGCCCAGTCCAAGACCACCGATTTGGTTTTAGATGACGGAGAATGAGGATGACATATAAACCATGAAAAGATGATTTGCTTTATAATGAAGAATAGAAACAGAAAAGAAGAATTGAAGATGAGACGACCAAGGACTAACACGAAAGAAGGCTTATGTTATCAGTCTGCCTTTGCTGACAGCCCCAGTATTTCCAACCTCGGCAGTATCCACCTGGGAAGCTAAGCTAAGCTGGCGATAGCTATGCATGGATGGATTGAGGAGGAAAGGTTGACGGCGGGCTGGATTTGGAAGATTCGCATGACAGTCTTTTTTTTTTTTTTTTTTTTTTTTTGTGCGGAAAGATCATCATTGACCAGGTGTAGATGTAAATGGAAAAAGAAACAAATGAATGCTTGCACCGGGTAGGCTCTCGCATCGAGGGCTGCATTGTATTAGAAGGCTTACAAGACTAGTAAGCTATGCCATGGGTAGAGGTACAAGAAAAGAGCTAATAACAAAGTTGGTTTTTGATTGCAGGGAATGCCTCGCATGCACTATGCTCGCGGCATTATGCCAGCCTGCGTGATATATATATATATATATATATATATATATCAATGTTGTCACACCTGTCCACTGGACGTATTTCTCCTGCAAAGTTGAAACAATCAAACATAATCATTTGCCAAGAATAATGTGCCAAAAAGAGCAAAGTCGTCAAAGTCGTCAAAGGAGTGTCGTCTTGGGGGCTTTGAAAAAGCCATTAGGTGGTCTCGGGGACGGGACCGAGAACATCATCAACCATGCCCTTCCAAAAGTCGCGAATCATGTGGGCGTGCTCGTCGGCGCTGCTCTCCGCCGCCGGCGCGTCGTGAACAAACTTGAGCTCGATGCCGTCGAGCCACAGGCCTTCGACGGCAGACAGCGGAGTGGCGGGGGCGACGCGATCCGGCTCGGCGGCGAAGATGGTGGGTTTGGAAAAGGCGGTCTCGGGGACGGCCGGCGCGGGGGCATGGGAGGCGCCGTAGTTGTCGGGGAGAAGAGGCACGCGTGGGCCGGGGGTGGCGGCAGAGGAAGAGGAAGAGGAAAAGTCCATCGAGGGCAGGACCATGGCGTCAAGATGCAGAGGGGGCACGCCGACCTGGCTGGCGCTCGAGTGGAAGGTCTGCATGAGGGGGCGGGGACGGTTGGCAATGCTGGGCTGGGGTGCAGGGCGGTGGGTGGTGGTGATGCCGCGGGACTGGGGCGAGTTAGTTGTCAGCTGATTCTTGCACAAGGATGGATTTGCCCGGGAAACAAGGGGACGGACCGAGGGTGGAAAGGGAGGGCAAAAAGGCGTACATACCTTGTT